ATTACGGCACTCTTATTTTAATAAGTCATGCTATACTACCAGTGAGGGTGGCCGAGTGTCAACAGCTTTTATGCATTGTTCCGTTACTTGCTCATATTTGTGGTTTATTCGAAATTATTGTGATGTAAGGAGTACTTTGACGGACATAATTCCATCTTTTTACTTAAGAAGTCGCTATTAATTAGCAATATTTACACATTCTCTGTGATCTGCCTTGTTTGTGTGACTCAATGATATCGCAGCCACCTTCAACAACCTGTGTAAAACGCCTCAGCGTAGCAGGCCATCAAACCACCCGAGAACAAACGGAAAAATCACCATTCAATTATTCTGCGGGCATCTTCATCGTAATTCATTATATTCGAATGCATATTTTCAGAAAATTTCTGACAAACAATTTCTTCTGTGTCTTTTAGCCAATGATATTTAGTTTTTGTAATCCGATTTTATTATGGTTAAGGAACTCTGTATTATTCAGCACGAAAGTGATAGCAAAAACACGAAAGTATTTTAGCATTTACCTCTAGGTACGCATATCCTACCAAAGTGTTGGGTAAAAAGGCATGGAACATGCACTCGCCCGTGCGTTGTGATCGCGCATTCGGAAGCACTTTGTGTGCAGCCTTCGCGACCACGCCTCGCGTAAACTTTGCGGTTGGTAAAGTGGAAAGATTTGGAAGGGGACGCCTATGACCTGCCAATCCACGCCAAGCGTCTTCAAAACCTCATATGCACAACCTCTGCTCCAGTACTTTCATAAAGGCTAATTTAACAGCTCAACGAAAGCTCCAGTTTGTCGTGTTAGGCCAACTGCTGAGATACTCACCACAGCATATCAAATGGAGCATGGGAGTGGGCACACGTTGCAGTGTAATGGTTCATCGCTAGGTATTTATGGCTTGGAGTAAACTTGCAACGAAATGCTGAGTCCATTGTTGGTTGAAGCATGTTAAACAGATTAAAAGTTGACTCACCCTGGAAATTCGGAATTAAGAACTCCGTCCGGAATTCCACGTTCTAATCTGCGGCCAAACTGAGTTTTTTACTGTTGCTTGGGCCCATTCACTTTTCCCACCACCATTGCTGTGCTTCTTTTTTGAATGTGTCCACAAATATTATTAATTCACAAGCCTAAAAGTGTTTGGTCGAAGTCAGCATGGCTCATTAAAAAGGGACACGTCTTCAGTATTCACTCAAGATTTGGCTAAAATACTCTACTTGAAAAAAGTGGCCATTGAACCAATACAATGCCAATTCTATTCATAACACCTTATGAGTTGGTGATTCAATGTTGGGAGAAATCTTATCCTCGTAGCCAGTCCTCAAAGTCATTGAATGGAAGAGGTCAAAGCATAAATTCATGTGCTTTCATCAAAACCGCACCAAAAGCCCCACCATAGGGCAAACCGTACATAGTTTTTCCGCAGGTAGATGGGTCGTAAAGCCAGCAACCTCCGCTACAGACTCACTTTTCTGATTTAATGAGTTCAGCAAAGCTATGGCTTTGAGTTTAATAATTCCATTACTACGAGCATTGAGTGTCCTTTTTTGAAAACCCTCATGACAAAGGGATTGCAAAAATTCACTCACCACACGAATACAAAATTAATGTGTTGAGCATTTTACTTATAATCTGTAATTTAGATTACTTGATTTTTTTGTATCCTCAATCTCCTCCACTCCAGTTCCCAAGTTGCATTAAAATACCTACAACAGATTCGACTTCACCTTCCACGGAGATAATTAAATTGTTGAAAGGTCACAGGCGCACGATGGTTGAAATAGTTTACTGTGGAGGTGTGAGGACAAACAATTTCAAATTAGCACACATTTACCTTCCGTGCTCTCAGGGCTTTGACGCAAAGTCAGTTGCAAAAAAACTTGTTGGGAAATTTGCTCTTGTAATATCACGTCCAAACAGATCGCCTTTGACCTTCACATGGCGTCCCCAAACGATGCCAGAAATTGCCTCTCCACTCGGCTCTGGCCGTCCCTTAGTCAAAGAAACTTCGGCGACTGTATCCGCGTAAACTTTTATGCTGACACCTCTTTGAATAATGAAAACCCACACACAACAGAAAATGCAATCAAGACTGAAACATCGACAGTAGACGAGCGCTCTGCTAACAGGCTGTTTTTGTGACACCAAAACTGTGCAATAAAATTTCCCCTGAATCTTTCAATTTCTCTGTTGATGGATCGAAAAAGCTTAAAAAACATTCTTTGGCCGGTCTGAGTAACACTTATAGAGGACGAAGCTTCTGTGAGGGCAACGCACAAAATATCGGTTTGAGGAAAATAAAAATGAAAGACTTTTATAACTCACTGATAACTAGGAGACAACTAAATTTAAAAAAAATAGTCATTTTTTGCTTTAGCCTTTGAAGTTTTTGCCGTATCCGCTCGTGCAGCAGTTGATTCGACAAGTAGATCTGCCAGCATCGGTGGCAAGCAGTCATTCGAGGCGTCAAATTCCGCCTTTCGGATCGATCCTTTTCAATTCGGAACATACAATTTCCTTAGTGCTTTTAAGAAGTTTTAAATTGGAATATTTCTCATACACTGGCATGCTTTTCTTCCCAATCATAGTGCTGGTGCAGTCTGTGCCAACCCTGTCACTTGAACCCATAAAGTAGGGAAAATATCGCTGTTCCAATGCGCCTCCCCTCTTTTAAGCTTGCCCCGTCATCAACGGTTAACTTGAAAGAACAGGAAGTCCTGCTGGATAGACAAGCAGATCACCCGTCAAGGGGTTCTGCAATTTATACTTGAGCAAGTATTAAATTCATTGTTTGACATTATTTACTTGTTTTACCACGGACTTCAGTTGTGGATTAATCTAATATTGAGCTGCCTGAAGGAGAAATATCACAACTCCTCTGAAAAAAATGCGAAGAGCGCTAACTGAATTTGTCCAACCAACAAAAGGGTTATTTACTTGGCTGTTTGACAAAGGTGGACAAACAAGTAAGCATTCATGGAAACATTAAAAAAGATTGAACAATGGTATGGACATTTTGATGTGGAAGTTGCATCCAAAACGCCACTCATCCGATAGCTTCCTCAGCAAAGTGAGCTTTGGCATTTAGGTCGCTGTTTGAACAACTTCGACGTTAAAGTCCTGGCAGGTAAAATTGCCTCTTAAGAATCAGACCTTGACTCAATCCAAGTGGAAATTGTGAGGAGCCCACGCACAGATGTAGATTTCACGCAAGTATTCATAGGCTTTCCCTCATATTTACTTCTGAGTGGACTAAACAAAACGCCATGTTAGCTTCTCAGGGCATCTGGCACGTTCCAAACAAACCCGTTTTACACTCCTGTATTGATAAAAATAAAGTGTCGACCTTTACCTACATGATTGCTCAATTTCCACACAGAAGTTTACAATATGTCTTTTTTTTGCTCTGGGAACAACTTTTTTTGACGTTTGGTGACGTGACGAAATCCCGTATTTAGACTGAGAGCTTTACTTTAACACATTTTCGCGTGTGGATTATTATTCTTCACCGCCTTAATAGCAAATAAAAATGTATTCTTGAGCAGTAGTGGTGTTCAACTTCCTTTAGCACAGTCCCACTCAAATTTTCGTTGGAAAATGTACTTCTAAATATTTGCTACGATTTCAACATTACTCCACAAGACGGTATGAGCCAATAAAAATGTGCTGACCGAAAGCAAAAGCACTTCTTTACTCTATTACATCTAGCCAATATAGATTCCAAGACAATGAAGAGGAAGTCGTTTTGGAAGCTCACAAAGCACAAGAATAACGCCACCACAAAGCCCGTTGATGCGGCTTCAGGTAGCGGCACGTTGCGCAGCCTCTTCTTGGACGACACGTCGCTATCGCGCTCCATAAGAAGTAGCAGTCTAACGGATCCCAACATTAGCGTCCCAAAGATCCAGCGGCCCAATCGCGAATGTCGCTCCATTTGTGTCCCTTCGGCAGCAGAGCAGACTTTCCTTCAAGAAGTGAATAATGCCGGATTTTCCACAAAAACCCAAGGTAATACAGTACACTGTACTATTACTTTTATAAGTAGAATAATTTTTACTCAATGGAAAGGGCTTGTTGGGATTGAATGGTGAACGTTTTACACTAGGCTTGAAAATTTCCAAGTACAAAACAATAAATTAGCTTTATGAACCCATTGGAACACTGTGTAGGGTTTGAACGGTAAAAGTGGTTCCTTGGGATGAAATTACGTTTGTGAAACATTGCCTTCGACTTTCGTCCCAGTGAAACTAGCAACTATTACACACCCTGGCTAGCCGACACACACTGTCGGGCGGACTAGGCTCAACCCTCTTTGTTCTCCAAAATTTGATTGCTCGGAAAAGAAATTTGGCTGGAACTAAAAATCGCCTTTTCCTGAGGAAACTTGCACTACGCTCTGCCTTGATTAACAGAATGCAACACCGCTATGCCCTTTTAAAATCTTAATCAGGATATTTTAAGGATGTTTGCACCAAAAGTTCGCATTTTCATCAGTCTTTGGAAAGATACCATGGTCATGTCAGAGGAAAACCATTATCTACTAATCAGATGTGAGTTTCCAAATGCATCCTTTGTAAATGGCGGCAATGAATGCAATTGGAATATCTCAATCGAAAACTTTATGAAGGAAATGGGCTTTTTTTACTATGAAAATTGATACCGTTTACCTCTGAAATGAATTCATGAATATTTTCTCCGACAATAAGCTTAGATGAAGTGCCTCCCAAAATGGAAAACTGTCAGAGCTTAGAAACGCACTCTTTACCCGGATAGTTGTTGCGTCTACCAACTTGACCATAAGGAAGTCGATCAACAGCCTTTACTTCAGCCGCATTATGAGATATTTTCCAGTTAAGCTGCGGTTGGATCAGCGCGTTGATAGCTTGACAATCCTATGATCCTTATCAGACACACAATTCTCACTTTTGGTGCTAGCTCTATTACTTGGATAGCGGTAACCATTTAACATGGCCAATATGTCCTGGTAATGAGGGTATTTCTACAACAGAACCGTTTGATAAGGAGAGGGCTGTGAAACAATGGATTGGCGGTGGATAAAAAGCAGTGTTACTGTCACTCCGTCCCACAGCCGCTGCAACTCCGTCACCCATTCCAGGGCATTGTACGCGGCTGCTGTGGATGTGTGGTGGTGAGTGAGCTTGAAGGATTCACGCAAGAAGCGCTCGCACCGTCCCACACCCCAACGGCGTGATGCACGTAAGTCCGCGACGGCCCTCGACCAATTGGCGCGCGTGGATATTGATTGGACGGTTGACTGGACAATCGCCTGCCAACGTGCGTACACGCGAGCACCAAGGCCAAAGAAACAGTAAAAGAAAAAGAATGCGTTAATTTTTACGGAATGTTGCAGCGGTAACGGTAGAAGTTGGAGCAGCGCGGTCGATGTTGCAGTACGGAAGGCAGTCATCGAATGTAGAGCACAATCTGCATTAAATAAACATACAAGATTCAGCTAGTCCAAAACCACAAAAAGCCACTGAAAAGTTGGATTTGTATTTTTGAGGTAGGCCTGTAATTCGTGTTAAAGTTAAAACAGCAACTTTTTAAATAAAAGTTAATGAAAATTTCTCAATGACGCTTTTTTGTTCTTACTTTTTCATAGAAATTACACTTCCTCTTCCCTTATCATTTAATGCGTCTATAAAAAGGAAAAGTGACATTAGTGGTTATAGTCAACTTTCCACTAGGCGTTTATTATCTTTGCCTGGAAAAGTAAAACCTAATCTTACTCAATGGCGCTTTAATCTCATCGCTTCCGATATGACGTAATACAGTGGCTTCTTATCCATTCAAAGGATCTTTTCCTGTTGACTTGGCATTGCCGGAATGTTCTGGAGATTTTGGATCCATATTGGATGTGTTGACTAGGTTTAAATTCCCTTTAACTATTGCTAGTCATCCATTCAAAGTACAGATACAACCGATTTTGTATGCCCGTTTCGTGGGAAGTGGCGAAACGGATACCACTGTCATCTACCCTGTCTTTTGTTCGAGGTTCTTGAGTGACTAAGCCAGTTTGAAGGTTTCACTATCTTTTACTTAAGTACATTCACATTTAATCGCTAAGTATGGTTTATCCCTAGTCGCCTTCGAAGAAGTTAACTTATCTGACCTAACTTAACTGAATTCCATGGCGCTCACTACGTAGTCCCTGAGCCTTATTACAGGAGGCTGTACACGTGATTTACGTGTAAAAAGCGGTCTAAACACTAAATCCCATGGGGTATTAAGGCTGCAAATGGATCCAGAAAATTGCCCACTCTGCGAAACATCTTTCGCAAAGTTGCGTCACAGCTCGTGCGTCATTTCCTGGTGAATCGAAAAAAAAATGTTTGCGGGTATTTTTTTTTCTAGAGGTGCGACATATTTCTCCGTGTTACAAAATACCCTTTTTGTTGGAGCGTTTTCTTAGCAAAATATTTTTTTCAATGTGTTAAGCTGTCTCTGGCTTTGGGTAGTCGTACTAACCACATCTTAACGTTTGTTTTGAATTAGTGACACCACACTTGATCAATTCGTGATGAGCTGAAGGCTGTGTTCACCGCCCTCCAATAACGCTAGCAAGAAGCATAAGCACAGCAGCAAGAATTTGCAGTGATCGTCGGTTGAACTGGGACACTCTTATTAGTACGGCTTAGCACAACTATTTCTGATGAGCATCACATATGGTCAAGTAGCACAACTCTCTGTCTACTAGGGAATAGTCTTGTCGTCATTACCAATTTTTCGTTGCATCTTGAGCAGCTTTGAGAACCAAATTTTACTGTGTGCCATCATGTCTATACTACTTGTCGCTGTGCAATAATTCTCCTTCTAGTTCAGGATATCCACGTTTGGCATCAGCATCAGCTATTTCGAGTGAACCGAGTACTCAAGGAGGGGCAGTCCAGCGAGTCCGAATTTCTCAAAAAATTGTTTTCGATTCTCCTTCCCAAGGAGTCACTACCGGTAGAAATTACAGGGGCTTTCCAAGTTTTAGACGAACGTCGAAAGTCCTTCAGACCAATTCATCCAAACGAGTGGGTTTCCTTTTTATGAATTTCTACGGAACGAATGCCTATTTTTTATGAAAGATATGTCGCTATTTCTATCGCCAAATATCCCATCTCGTGGCCTCTAGGTATGGTGATTTAGCATGACCTCCCATAAATAATGCATAGATGTT